CTGGACCAGTCGCACCAGCAAATCCTTGAAGATATTGGCCTTCAGGGGCCACGTGGTGGAAGCCGCTTGCATCCGCTAACGAACCCCTCGTGTTCGCGAGTGCCCAAACCCAACACATGGGCGGAGCTTTAGTAAATTATCTCAGAGTTTTGGAGCGTGGCAAAGCCGCGGGCTGGCCAGGCGAGCATCCACACTCGTCTTCGAATTCGACGCTCGGGCGGAAGTGGCGCCTGATCCCGATGCGTTTCGAGCAGGCGGCCAGGCGATTCAGTTGGGCGCAGCAAGTGGCCAAGGACACCCCCGCGCACCAGCAGGCGATCGCCTCGATTCGAGGGCATCTCGAAAGCAGACCGCCCTCCCTTGATGACGACGGGCACCCCCGTACTTGTGCGCCCCCGCTGGCATTCCAGATCGAGCGGGCCTTATTGGCGCTTGCTGGTATTAGTGGTTCTGAGGATTTCTTCGAGGCCTGGGAGAGATGGGACGTGTCTTGGAAGGCTCTATTCTCGGAGGAAGAAGTTAGGGTGTTGTGGCCCAAAGTGGGCCCCAAGATCCTGAAGGCCTCGATATTCAAAGAAGGGGGGGGAATCTGTCGGGGCCGACTTAGAGGCCCAGCGCGGGCCTTCGGCGGGAGGGGGAGGAGGAGGAGCCGGTGACCCATATATGTAGCCTAAGGGGGCTCTCAGGGGAACATGCGCCCACGGGAGTTCGAGTCCCGAGGAGGCTTACTAGCACGTCAATCCAGATCTGTTGGAGGTGCACACGGTAAATTGAACCCTTTGTATTCGACAGCATTGACACATGCATGCCCGTGGTGCCGCACATCATTTTCGTCTAAAGATAGTGCTCGTCAACACGTCCGCACTGCATGGCTCACCAACAGATGTAGACTTAAGCGAACGGCTTTTACTTGGGATCAAATTGTACCTAAGTCCTTACTGTGCCCAATGTGCGACTCAATATTGTAGTGGCCTTCGGCCAGCGCCGCCGATCCGGGTCGCTCGGTGTTATTCTCCAGACGCAGACATTATGGGCGCACACTCACAACGCACAAACTTCTCGGGTTAACTTCGAAAGGGCGTAGGAATGCAGTTGGGTCAATAGAGCCATATCGCAACAGTGGTTCTATCAACGGCGGGGTGCTTGCAGTGACCGTGGGGACGGGGAATAATAATGACATGAAAAATTCCATACAGGATGCCGATCACTTTGGAAACTCACGATACGTCGTGCACGGAGTCGCGCTACGAAACATGTGGCCTGGACGATGTGGTGCGAGCGGTGGAGGCGAGCCTATCGGCGCAAGGACGCCCTCTTGGGGCGTTTTTTGAGCCATCTTAGGAGCCTGCCAGGGCGTCGTGGGGGCTTCTTGGGGGCTTTCGGAGGCCCTCTTGGAGGCTCTTGGGGCCTCCTGGGGGCCTCGTGGGCTGGAAGGCTAGATTTGTTCCGCTTTTCGTCCCTCTTTTGGGTCCTCTTGGGGCCGTCTTGGGGGCCTGTTGGGCCGTCTTGGGCGGCTCTTGGGCCGCCTTGGGGCCCTCTTGGGCCGTCTTGGGACTGCATGGGGGCCTCCTGGGCCGTCTTCGAGCGGTCTTGGGGGCCTCTTGGGCCGTCTTGGAGCGTCGGAAAGCAGAAAAAAGCGACAACCCCAAAAACATTGGGAAAAAAATGGGAATCAACGATTTTTGCCTCTGGGGGCCATCGTGGGAGGCCTCTTGGAGGCCTCTTCAGAGGTCTTGGAAGGCTCTTGGGCCGTCCTGGGGCCATCTTGGGCGTGCTCGGGCGATCCTTCGGGGTCTCGGGGCTTTCGTAGACCGCCCTCAGAGACTTTTGCGGCCGCGGCCACCCTTCCAGCGCATGCTCGAGATTAGAGCCTTCTGTAGAAACAGCGCCCCGCATCCGCCGGAAACTCGCCCCCCCCCCCCCACCCCCCTTCCCCGGCAGAGCCGCCCCGGCAACCCCCCAGAGGCTGAGGCTCAGCCTCGAGGCTGTAGCTGAGACTCCTTGTAACTCACGCGCCGGATCGTGCTCGTCAACACGTCCGCACTGCATGGCTCACCAACAGATGTAGACTTAAGCGAACGGCTTTACTTGGGATCAAATTGTACCTAAGCCCCTACAGCGCCCAATGTGCGACTCATTTTTTGACGCACTTGTTGAGCGTCATGATCACGCAGTTGAGCATCACCTCCCTCCACCGCCCATTGTGGTTCAGCCTCGGGAACATAGGGGGCGGCGCACAGAACGAGCAGCGGCACCTAGAGATGGCGCTGGCGCTGTCGGGCGGCAGCGACAGCAACAAGAAAGAGCCCGAGTTCCAACGCCAGGTCAGGCGCCGCGACGAGGGGAAAGACGGCCAGTCCACCCAGAAGAGCGCAGCAGGCGTCAACGGCCACAACAAGGGACTGCACGTGCTGACGATGAAGATGCTGCTGTCGCTCGCGCAGAGCCGACGGAACATCGAAGGGGCGCTGTTCGACGCGCTGATCGCCCCCGCCGACATTCCAGAGGCGGCGAAGATGCAGGGGCAGGGATCGGTCTACAACGCCCAGGCCAAGGGCAAGGGCCATGGGCTAGGAGCGCCCCGCCCGCTCGTGTTCGGGGGCCTGCTGGAGGCGCCGCTGCTACGACAACAGAGCATCGGCAAGGTGAACTTCGAGAAGCTGACCGAATTCAAGGCCCGATTGCTCACACTCCAGTACGAAGAAAAGATGGGCATCATCCGCTTCACCAAGGTCGACCGCTGTTTCGACCAGGGCAAGCGCGGGATCACGCTGTGCTTGCAGAAGCGCCGCAAGGAGGTGACCGGCGCCCTGCAGCAGCTGGGCGCGGAGCTGAAGTCGGGGAGGGCGCTTGCGAGCCATATGGAGCGGGAGCTGCAGGAGTGGCTGGAGGCCCCCCTGTCATAGGTGAGGCACGACGACGGCCAGCGGACCATCATGAATCGATCACGCCTGAGCTTGACACAAAGGCGGAGGGAGATTCGCAGATGACGAGGACTGGAACCTCTGAGAGGGCCCACAGTCACGGGCCGACTGCACGGCACGAGATGCAGCAAGTTTCTTTGGGCGCAAGGGAAAGGAGGAAGAGGGGGGGGAATTCGCCTACGAGGGGGTCGACGGGGACGGCGGGATCACTGATACCGACGAGGAGTGTTTCGTCCCCGAGGGAACCGACAGGAGCCACAGGACCTCCGAGGACGAGGAAGGTTTCGCCGTCGAGGAGTCTTCCAGGGACCACTGGATCAGGTGCCAATGAGGGGAGTTTCGCCGTCGAGGGTCTTCACGGGAGCCAGGGGATCACAGATGCCGATGAGGAGCGCTTCGCCGTCGAAGGTTTCTTCGGGGACCAGGGGAACACAGATGCCAATGAGGAGTATTTCGCCGTCGAGATTTTTCTCGAGGTCCAGGGGGTCACAGATGCCAATGAGGAGCGTTTCACCGTCGAGGGCTTTTACGGGGGCCGAGGGATCACAGATGCCAACGAGGAGGATTTCGCCTTTGAGGACCTCTGGAGGATCGACAGGATCACAGATGCCAATGAGGAGTAGTCCGACCCCCCTCTTGGAAACAACGGCGAGAGGTACAGCGGACCTTGTGAGAACTGAGGCCCGTAGATAAGTGATGAGACACGGAGGAGAGGCCCCAGAGGGGGGCCTTGAAGTAGCTAGGTATCTGATTGCGCTAGGCGTAGAGGAAGGCACGGCGAGATGGCAGGAGCAAGCACGTTCTGGCAATGGTACGTAGAGGGTAGATGCGCAGAGAAGTCCGCGGGCCTGGATTCGGGTAGCTCGTGCTCGGGTCTCAGGCCTTGGGCTGTGCACCAGTTTTCGGTGTAGCTTCGGGGCCAGTGTCCCCAGGCGTTTTGAATCCTCCTCTTGAGGATAGCCTCTGGGCCTTTGAGTGTCTGGGTTTGGGACGAACCTGGCCCCCACGGAGTGTTTCCGTTTCCTCCCCCCTCTCCCCCCATTTCTGTCCCCCCCCCCCCTCTCTTTTGTCCCCCCCACCTCTCTCCTGCCCCGCCCCCCTTGTCTCCTTCCCCCCCCCCCCCCTCCTGCCCCCCCCCCCCCCTCTCTCCTGTCCCCCCCCCCCTCTCCCCCCTCTCTCCTGTCCCCCCCCCTCTCGCTTGTCCCCTTCCCCTTTCTCCTGTCCCCCCCCTCTCTCTCTCTCTCTCTCTCTCTTTTCCCCTCCCCCCCTCTCTCCTGTCCCCCCCCCTCCCATCTCCCCTGTCCACCCCTTCCCCTCCCCCCCCTTTTCTCTTGCCCCCCCCTCTCTCCTGGGGGCTGGCAGGGGGGGGAGGTGCCGAGCACCGAATTCGTCAGTTAATGGCCCCCCCCCTCGCCCCTTCCCAAGCAGAGCGAAAGCTCATGCTGAAGCAGGGCTTCAGCTTAGACCTCTTAAACTCACACGCCGGATCGGCGGATGTTGGCGCGTTTACTAAACGACGTCGCCTTTCGGGGTAGTCGTTATAGGGTCGGACTTTTCGACCTCTAGAGGAGGCTCGGGTTAGGCCTGACTGGGCCGTGTACTCCTGCCCGACGAGCGCCCCGCGCAGGGGCGCGCCCTTTCGAGCGGCGGCCCCCGCCGACGGCAGGGCCTCCCGCCATCCGCCGATATGTTTTTTCCCAGTGCGCGGCCCTCGAGGTCCCGACCCCGTCCGCGGGGACAAGTCGAAGCGCACAGTACAGCGGAGGCCCATGCCAAGAAGCACCCTGCTCGCCTCCCTGGGTTTCCTGGGTTGCGATGGTTTTGCGATGCGACGTTCCCGCGCCAAAATTCGAGGGGCGTTCTGGGGTCTCAGGGCTAGGTTTCGTGAAAGGTTTCTTGCATCGCCGATGCATCGGCGATGCGTCGGCGATGCGGCGCGGCCCCCCGACCCCATCAAGGAGGCCTCGACTTCCAGAAATCAGACTGTCGGCGATATGGGCTTGCCGTCGCTCGCCCGCCGCCCGTCGCCGCTCGCCGCCCGCCGCCGCCGCCGTCTCCGCCGCTCGCCGCCCGCAGCGCGCTGGCGGGGCGCGGCTGAGCGCACAGAGCCCCCGCCGCTGCACGGGGCTCCCGCCGTGCGGCCGCTGCAGCGCGCCGCGGCCCCGCGCCGTGCGCGGCGGGCGCCGCCGCCAGCCGACCTCGACAAGAGCTGCAGGAGCTCAGGGAAGAGAGGGATGAGAGGCTCGAAGCGGGCTCGGGGGTCGAGGTTTTCGAGCGTTTTCGTCGGTTCGCCGCGGCCTGTCAGCCTCTGGGTGCTCTCCAGCAGCTGCGCCTCGCCGAGGGTGTTCTGGGGGTGCCCGGATCGTCCCAAACAGCCGCCGGGGGGCCGAGTTATGGCCCGAGAACCAAGGGGCAGACGGCGGCAGTTACGCGCAACTCTCTTCCCAGACCCCCATCGCGTCGTGACAACATTCCAACAACAGGAGGCTCTTTTCCTGCCTCCTCCTCCTCACAAATTTCTCTGTCGCCCTGGCGGGTGCCCTCCTCCTCGTGATGGTGCTGATGATGATGATGATGATGATGATGATGATGATGATGATGATGATGATGATGATGATGATGATGATGATGATGATGATGATGATGATAATGATAATGATGATGCTGATGCTGATGCTGATGCTGATGCTGATGCTGATGCTGATGCTGATGTTGATGCCGATGATGTTGATTGTGAATCGCGATGGTGATCCCGATGATAATCGCGAAGGTGATTGTTGATGATGGTGATGATGATGATGATTATGATGATGATGATGATGATGATGATGATGATGATGATGATGATGATGATCCCGATGATGATGATGATGATGATGATGATGATGATGATGATGATGATGATGATGATGATGATGATGATGATGATGATGATGATGATGATGATGATGATGATGATGATGATGATGATGATGATGATGATGATGATGATGTGATGTGATGATGATGATGATGATGGTGATGGTGATGGTGATGGTGATGTGGATGATGATGACGATGACGATGACGATGACGATGACGATGACGATGACGATGACGATGACGATGACGATGACGATGACGATGACGATGACGATGACGATGACGATGGCTGATGATGATGATGATGATGATGATGATGATGATGATGATGATGATGATGATGATGATGATGATGATGATGATGAGAAAGAGCGTGTTCTACCGCCGCTGGCGGAACACCGGGGGGGGGTCACAGGGGGTTCCCAACCCGTCCCCCCCCCCCTCGAAAACCGGGGGGTCACTACCAGTTCGAACCCCTCCCCCCCTCGTCCATCATGAAAAGGGGGGGGGTCACTACGGGTTCGAACCCCCCCCGCTCTCGAAAACCAGGGGGGGTCAGTACCGGTTCGAACCCCCCCCCCCTCGCCGCCGGCAAACGATTCCCGCTCCTCGGGACAGTTGGACAATGGTGGGGATGTTGGGACAGTGGTGGGAACGGTGGTGGTGGGGACAGTGGCACGAGGACAGTAGGACAGTGGTGCGGACAGTGGTGGGGACGATGGTGGTGGGGACAGTGGTGAGGGGACAGCGGGATAGTGGTGGGGACAGTGGGAGAATGGTGGGGACGATAGTGGTGGAGACAGTGGTGAAGGCGGTGGTGAGGACAGTGGTGGGACAGTAGTACCGTGGGGAAAATGGTGGGGACAGCGGGGACAGTGAGACAGTGATGGGAACAGTGGGGACGGTGGGACAGCACAGTGGGACAGCGGCGGGGACAGTGGGACAGTGGTGGGTACAGTGGGGACAGTGGGACAGTGGTGGGGACCGTGGGGAAAGTGGGGAGAGTGGGACCGTGGTGGGACAATGGTGGGGAGAGTGGGGACAGTGAGACACTGGTGGGGGCACTGGTGGGGACAGCGGGGACAATGGTGGGAACAACAGTGGGACAGTGGTGGGGACGGTGGTGGTGGGGACAGTGGTGTGGGGACAGTGGGAATGTGGTGGAAATAGTGGGACAGTGGAGGGTACAGTGGTGGTGGGGACAGTGGTGAGGGCGGTGGCGAGGACGGCGGTGGGACAATGGGACAGAGGTACAGCGGGGACAGTGGTGGGGACAGTGGGGACAGTGGTGGGAACAGTGGGACAGCTCAGTGGGACAGCGGCGGAGACAGTGGGACAGTGGGGACAGTGGGACAGTGGTTGGGGCCGTGGAGAAAGTGGGAAGAGTGGAACCGTGGTGGGAACAGTGGTGGGGAGTTGGGGACAGTGCGACAGTGGTGGGGGCACTGGTGGGGACAGTGGGGACGGTGGTGGGAACAGCGGGGACAGTGGTGGTGAGGACAGTGGTGCTGGGGACATCAGTGGGGGTGTGGTGCGGACGGTGGTAGGGACCCGGGAGTCGTTTACTGGCGGTGAGCGCGGGGGGGGGGGGAAGGGTTCGAATTGGTAGTGACCCCCCCCCCTGGTTTTCTGGAAGGGGGGGGGTTCGAACCAGTAGTGACCCCCCCCCCCGGTTTTCCGGAGGAGCGGGGAGGGGGTTCGAACCAGTAGTGACCCCCCCGGTTTTTCGGAGGGGGGAGGGGTTCGAACCGGTAGTGAGTGACCCCCCTCTGGTTTTTTCTGGGGAGGGGGGGAGGGGTTCGAACCGGTAGTGATCCCCTGGTTTTCCGGAAAGGGGGGAGGGGAGGTTCGAAGCGGTAATGACCCCACCCGGTTTTCCAGAGGGGGGGGGGGTGCCGGGGGGGAGGGGGAGAGGGGAGAGGGGGGGGGTCCAGCAGGGGGAGGGGGACGGGGGGGTCCATTTTCGGAGACGGGGGGGGAAACCCAGGTTCTGGAGGAAGAGGGGGGGTAATTTTCCACAGTAAAGCGGCGGTGGATCACGCGCTCTCGATGATGATGATGATGTTGACGAGGATGCTGGTGATGATGATGAGGAGGAGGAGGAGGATTTTAAATATGATGGTGGCGATGTGGAAGTGTGAGGGGAGGGGTGGTGCATTCTTGCGCGAGGTGCTCAGAGAAAGCAAGCACCACGCTGTGCATGTGGGGGACAAGAACCCCGCTTTGGTCTCTGCTGTGATCCGCTGCTCTCTGCTGCTTTCTGCTGCTCCCTGCCGCTCTCAGCTGGTTTCTGCTGCGGCCTGTTGGAGTGCGCGCGCGACTTGCTGGGCCTGTGGGACCTGTGAGACTGTCATGATTGTGGGGCCTGCGCCTGTATGCCAGGGATTCTTCCTCGCTGCTCATTTACAGACGAGGCCCCCGCTCAAAACATCCTCACGGTTTGCCTCCCTGGGGCGTTCACGTGCTATGTTTGCTACCATATGGCGTGGACTGCTTCGAACTATACGCGTCCCCGAAGCCGTCCTGCAGCTCCTTCGAAGCTCCTCTGGAGTTCCTGCAAAGCTGCCTCTCCATAGCTTGCAGCATGAAGTGCGGGGCCCATACGGCGGGGGCTCCCGCCCGAGATGCCCTCGCCTCTCACTGATAGACGAGGCCCCCGCTCGAGACGTCCCCACGATTTGCCCATCAGTGGGCTGAAGTGCTGTGCCTGATGCAGTACGCCGTTGACGCAGTCGGATGAGCAATGTGAAGCGGGGACCTTGTAGGGACGGGGTTCCCTCTTGAGACTTCCTTGCGATTCACTCACGGACGAGGCTCCCGCTCGAGACATCCCCACGACTGGCCCCCATTGGTGTGCTCAAGTGCGATGCCTGCTGCAGTATGCCGATGGCCTGGCCAGATCACCAACACGAGGCGGGGACCGCAAAGGGAGAGGGATCCCGCTCGAGATGTCCTCGCGATTTACTCACGCATGAGGCTCCCGCTCGAGACCTCCTCAAGATGAGTGTGTGTGTGTGTGAGTATGTGAGTGAGTGTGGAGTGTGTGTGCGTGTGGATGTGGGAGTGAGTGAGCGTATGATGGTGATGGTGATGATGATGATGATGATGATGATGATGATGATGATGCTGATGCTGATGCTGATGCTGATGCTGATGCTGATGATGATGATGATGATGATGATGATGATGGTGATGGTGATGGTGATGGTGATGGTGATGGTGATGGTGATGGTGATGGTGATGGTGATGGTGATGACGATGTTGATGGTGATGGTGATGGTGATGGTGATCATGATGCTGATGCTGATGATGATGATGATGTGGGAGAGTGCGAGTGCGTGTGGGAGTGGGACTGATGATGATGGTGGTGGTGATGATGATGATGATGATGATGGTGGTGTGATCGTGATGGTGAGTGGCCGTGGTCAGCTTGAAAGGAAGAGAGAGGACAGAAGGGATGAGATGTATCTGCACGGGGTGCGCAGAGGGAGCAGCAAAAACCACTTAGGATTTGAGGAACATTTCGGGTCCAGGCATTTGGGGATCCACGTTATGAAATTACCTTAGCGGGGGAGACAGTTATATGCATGTGCGAGTAACGCAGTTGAGCGTGTGAGGGGTCTACCAGAATGGGTCGGGCGGACGCATGTGGAGTCTGCCACTGGGGTCTTCGGTGGGATTCCGTATGGGGCCACGAAGCGGGTGAGGGGTGTGCCGACATGGGTCGGGCGGACGAGCGTGGACCTTCCCATTGGTGTTTTCAGGTAGAGCTCCCCATGGGGCCACGAAGCGTGTGAGTGGTGTGCCGAAATCGATCGTGCTCTCTTAGGGGCCTCCAGTGTAGCACCATGTGGGGCCACGAAACGTCTGACGACATGGGTCGGGCGCACGCACGTGGGCCCTCCCACTGGAGCTTTCGGTGGAGCTGCCGGTGGGGCCGCGAAACGTGTGAGGGGTGTGCCGACATGGGTAGGGCGGACGCATGTGGACCCTCCAACTGCTGCCTTAGGCGGAATCCCTCATGGGGCCACGAAGCGTGTGAGGGGTGCGCTGACATGGGTAGGGCGGACGCACGTGGGCCCTCCCACTGGAGCCTTCGGTGGAGCTGCCAGTGGGGCCACGAAACGTGTGAGGGGTGTGCCTAAATGTATCGGGCGGACGCATGTGGACCCTCCAACTGGTGCCTTACGCGGAGCTGTGATGGGGCTTCGACTGGAGCCGTCGGTGGAGCTTCCT